ACAGTCTCACTCTGTCACCCAGGCTGGAGCACAATGGCGCGATCTTAGCTCACTGCAACCTCTGCCTCCCAGGTTCAAGCGATTCTCCTGCCTCAGCTGCCTGAGTAGCTGGGATTACAGGCGCCCCGCTAATTTTTGTATTTTTAGTAGAGACAGGGTTTCAACATCTTGGCCAGGCTGGTCTTGAACTCCTGACCTTGTGATCCACTCACCTCAGCCTTCCCAAGTGCTGGGATTACAGGCATGAGCCACGGCGCCTGGCTGCTTGCATCTTTTAATAGCCAGCATTCTCTTAGATCTGCAGTGGGGCTCCAAGCAGCCAAGCCTTAGTGCAGTCTTTGTATTTTTATCCTTTTTTCAGACAATCGGCTTCGTCTGCCCACCATAGCCACTCTGCTGCCTGTCGTAACGCCACTTTCCCTGGGCATAGAGAATCACTGCCCTTCTCGTACTGTGACTTTGTGGGGTTGGTCCTTGGCACACTTCTTACAGAAAGTCTGGCGGGTTTTAGGAACATTCACTACGTTTGCGTGAGCGCTATCGGCACGGAAAGAAAATCTGTATCTTTTTAAGAGCCCAGACCCTCGTAAGTGTACAGGTATCGATCGACTTACGACCTATGCAACTTACGACCATTCGACTTTACGACCACAATCGCTAGCCACGACTGCTCCGCTGTAGATTTTTGGAAACACTACAACATTTTGATGTGTATCAAGAATATCGCTACCGCCTGGGAGGCTGTGACGACAAAGTGCATGAATGGCATCTGGAAAAATTGTGTTAAGTGCTATGTTAATGATTTTGACGGATTTGACAGTGAACACAAACTTGAAAGGATTCGGGAAAAAATAGTAAAACTCGCTAAAGACCTTTCTTTGGAGTGTGAAATGGAAGATGTCGAAGAGTTGCTAGACAAAGAATCCGGAGAACTTACAAATGACGAGCTAATCGAACAGGAAGAAGAAAGAGTGGTGGAAGAAGAAAGAAGAGAAGCAGAGAAAGAAGAGGAAGAGCCAGAAAGAAAGTTCACCACTAAGGGATTATCAGACGGTTTATCTTTACTGAATAAACTTCTTATATATTTCGAAGCAATGGACCCAAACATCGAACGATTTGCAAGGATTGAACAGATGGCGCACGATGTATTTCGTCCGTATTGTGAAATTTATGAAGAAAAAAGAAACATACAATTTAGACAAAGCTCACCATGTTTATGAAAAAATCAACTCCGGTAACCCCAACTGCTGCCTCAGATGACGACATCAACGATCCACAGCCAAGCACCAGCGGCCCATAAAATGTTTCGTACATGTTTATATATTTTGCTATGTTTTGCAATTGGGAAAATGTTTCCTATGGTATTTTTTACACCTGTATTTTGTATTTTTGTATGCACCTGTATTTTGTAATTTTGTACGTTTTGCAAATATTAAACCCGTTGTACTGGTAATGCAGTGTTTTACTTAAACCTGACGAATGTAAAAATAAGAAACAAAATGGTGTAGAGATGATACAAATGGCATAAAATGAACAAAGAAAATTATGATAAAATATGACTTAAAGATTTTTATAACATCATTTCACAGTACTGTACATATAGCTTACTCAACTTACGACCAAATCGTGTTACGACCGGTCTGTCAGAACCAGTCGTGGTCATAAGTCGAGCACTAGCTGTACAACTCTCTGGGTTTCCTCCCGCTATTTTCCAGTTTGTGACCTCTGGAGGCCAGCTAGAGTTAAAAACCCTAACCTGTCCATTAAAGACAGGAAACATTATGCTAAGAAGTGATCTCTAGCTGGAATAAAAACAGCAATTTTTTTTTGAGATGGAGTCTTGCTCTGTCACTCAGGCTGGTGTACAGATACACCATCTCAGCTCACTGCAGCCTCCGCCTCCGGGGTTCAAGTGATTCTCCTGCCTCAGCCTCCCGAGTAGCTGGCATTACAGGTGCCCACCACCATGCCTGGCTAATTTTTTGTATTTTTAGTAGAGATGGGGTTTCACTGTGTTAGCCAGGATGGTCTTGATTTCCAGACCTCATGATTCACGCACCTCAGCCTCCCAAACTGCTGGGATTACAGGTGTGAGCCACTACACCTGGCCCCTAAAACTGGCAATTTTTAAAGAAAAATATGGCTGGGGGCAGTGGCTCACACCTTCCTGGGTTACGAGATTGTTGGGACCCCAAGCCTCAAAAGGGAAATATGGTATCATTTACACCGTGAAGTACTCTTCAACCTTAAGGAAATCCTATCTAAAAATACAAAAATTAGTGCTGGGCACGGTGGCTCATGTCTGTAATCCCAGCACTTTGGGAGGCCAAGGTGGGTGGATCATGAGGTCAGGAGATTGAGACCATCCTGGGTAACATGGTGAAACCCCATCTCTACTAAAAATTCTAAAATTTAGCCGGGCATGTTGGCATGTGCCTGTAATCCCATCTACTCAGGAGGCTAAGGCAGGAAAACTGCTTGAACCCAGGAATCAGAGGTTGCAGTGAGCTGAGATTGTGCCACTGCACTCCAGCCTGGGTGACAGAGCAAGGCTCTGTCTCAAAACAAAAAACAAAAACAACCGCAACCCCCTCCCCCCCAAAAAATTAGCAGGTTCTGGTGGCGGGTGCCTGTAATCCCAGCTACTTAGGAGGCTGAGGCAGGAGAATCGCTCGAACCCAGCAATCAGACATTGCAGTGAGCCGAGATTGCACCACTGCACTCAGTGTGGGCAACAGAGAGAGACTCCGTCTCAAAAAAGAAGAAATTTTGGGGTGTAGTAACACGTCTGTGAACCCAGCTACTTGGGAGGCTGAGGTGGGAGGATCGCTTGAACCTGGGGGACAGACATTGCAGTGGGCCGAGATTGCGCCACTGTACTCCAGCCTAGGTGCCAGAGTGAGACCCTCTTTCAAAAAAGTTAAATAACCATAGTTCATGTGCATTATTTTATTGTATTATTCTTGTTTTTTTCCCCCCAATATTTTTGATCTGGGATTAAATCCACAGATACATCAGGCCAACTGTACAATACCTGAAAGGGATAGAAATAGGTAGAAAAGGGCCCGGCGCAGTGGCTCATGCCTGTGATCCTAGCACTTTGGGAGGCCGAGGTGGGTGGATCACCTGAGGTCAGGAGTTCAAGACCAGCCTGGCCATCAGGGTGAAACCCCATCTTAAAAAAGAAAGAAAGAAGAAAAAGAAATAAAGAAAGGAAGGAAGGAAGGAAGGAAGGAAGGAAAGAAGGAAGGAAAGAAGGAAGGAAAGAAGGAAAGAGAGAGGTAGAAAAGACCAGGTGTGGTGGCTCATGCCTGTAATCCCAGCACTTTGGGAGGCCAAGGCAGGTGGATCACTTGAGGTCAGGAGTTTGAGACCAGCCTGGCCAACATTGTGAAACGCCGTCTCAACTAAAAATACAAAAAATAAAAAATTAGCCAGGCGTGGTACCACAGGCCTGTAATCCCAGCTACTTGGGAGGGGGAGACAGGAGAATTGCTTGAACCCAGGGGCAGAGGTCGCAGTGAGCCCAGATTGCACCGCTGCACTCCAGCCTGGGCAATAGAGCGAGACCCTGTCTCAAAACAAAACAAAAAAATAGGTAGATAATAAGGACCAGGACAGACACCAGAGTTTATGACGATCTGGCACCTGTGTTTAGGATGGGCAGGCTCTCTCCAAGCCTCAATGCCATTTCTGAATTTCTGACATCCTGGAGAGGACTTCTGCTTTCCCCTAAGACACAGTGCAGACCGAGTTCCGCTCACCTCTGAGTTCATCCTTCACTCTCTGAGACAGATCCGCTCGGTGCATCTTTTCAAAGACCTGGATGGTGGCCATCTCCACCCAGTAGCTGGGGCAATGGCTGGTCAGGATTTCTGCCAGTTGCTTCCCATCAGCCTCATCTACCTCCGTCTGGGGGATCTTCTGTAGCTCATTTCCCGGGGTGATGGTTCTGATCAGAGACTTGAACTGGCTCAGCTCATCCTGGCTGAGCTGCTCCAGAATATCCTGCAGGTTGAAGTCCAGCCGCACAGAAGACACCATCTTGTCCCACGGGGGAGCTCCAATGAGAAGGGAGGGAGGATGGAAAGGGACGGCGAGTCAGCACCCCTGTCTCACAGCAGCCCCTCTGTGCCATGAGCAAGCATACACTCACCATCTACCCTGCTTCTTCAAGAACAAATTCCCGGCCGGGCGCGGTGGCTCAAGCCTGTAATCCCAGCACTTTGGGAGGCCGAGGCGGGTGGATCACGAGGTCAAGAGATCGAGACCGCCCTGGTCAACATGGTGAAACCCCGTCTCTACTAAAAATACAAAAAAATTTAGCTGGGCATGGTGGCACGTGCCTGTAGTTCCAGCTGCTTGGGAGGCTGAGGCAGGAGAATTGCCTGAACCCAGGAGGCGGAGGTTGTGGTGAGCCGAGATCGCGCCATTGCACTCCAGCCTGGGTAACAAGAGTGAAACTCTGTCTCAAAAA